TTTGCCTGCACTTTACACAAACGACAACTTGTGATTGGTGTGGTCAGCGTTCATATTGTTGACACAAATCACAATAGGATATTAGCACCTTCATTGTAAAGTTAATACAGGTGGTTTATAACTCGCGCCCTAGAAAAAAAATACAGAAACATAGAAAAAGTGTTTTAAAAAAGCTGCTTGTCGAAACATTTTGACATCTCAACTTTTTTATGTCTGTTTTATTGTTACCGACAATCTTATATACAGGCTGGATTATAAAAAACGCCCCAAAGCATAATTTGATTACTTTTAAAGACGTTACAAAACCTCTTGGATTAAAATTCAACAGTTTTTTGTAATGAATCGTTTGTTTGTCTTAAATAAATTGAATAAAAACGTACTATTCTTTGCACAGCCTACTTTAATTAATGTAATTTTCAAATTGCCTAAAATCAAAAGTTAAAACTCAATTTGACAAGGAATCCAAAAATAATAAAATATAGAGGGTATTATTTAAAAAACTGAAATTGATGTCACTTTCGGTGACACAGGAAGTAGCATTGATTGAGAATCTATGCCGAACAATAGATGACAAGAAACTGTTCAACTTTGTTCTAAGAAGTATTGTTATATCTTTAAAAATAATGAGGTTATGACTTGGGACATTTTTTATAATCCAGCCTTTATATTTTTTCATTATTATTCAGTAAGGTACAAAAACATAATTACAACTTAGGAAGCAACTTCTTTGTTTCCTCTTCTAGTAGCCTGCAGCAAAAAAATGTACAATAATTATTTTTCCAACAAAATAAATAGGGTCAAATTGCGAAATTTAATCCCTCATAATTTCGAAATTCTTATATGTAGATAAAAGTTTTTTTACTTTTTTCCATGTTTTTTACTTGACATTTTTCTCTGGGGCGCAATTTTTGAACCATCTTGTATAGAGAATGGTTGTTAATTTGTCTAAAAGTGGAAACACTTTAAAAACGTAACAGAAAATTACAGTAAAAAAACTTGAAACTAAATAACTAGCTGGAAAGCGGCATTTTCAAAATTCTCACTTAGTAATTATATTAAAACTGTGTAAAAAATCGGGTGAAAATCCTATCAAATTTTTAAATGTTTTATTCTTTTAAAACGGGACGGTCGTGTTGTCCGTGTGGGGCAAAAACACCACTTCCGTTTGCCAAATAACAATATTTCAGCCTCACACATTTCTTTTTTTTGCATTTTTGAATCATCCAGAATTGTTTATCACTGTTTTTCCAACATTTGGAAAACATATCATTAATTTATTTTCAAAAAGTGTCAAACTAAAAAAGGGGCGCACCATTTGTAAGCCTTTCTGACAAATAAAACTTTTCCATTTTATGGAGTTTTAAATGAATTTTTCTTTTTTATCTCTGCTCAGTTTTCACACTTTGTTGTTTTATTCCTAATATTCTAATATCATAAAATTGTTATAAATACAAAAGGATTCACATAATTTGACAACTTTAATAAACTACATATACAGTTTGTTCGGAAAAATCATTAAAACTACGGAGGTGAAAGCACTGTAGTCAATCTGTTTAAGGCAAAAATTTTGCTTTGAAGAAGTTTTTTGAATTTTTTTCAAAGGAGTCGCATTTATTGACTAGTTTAATTTGAAAATTGTTTCTTGTATTATTTTTGTAAGATGCTTCGTTTTAGAGAAAATATGTATGTGATTATGTAACAACACGTGATTTCTTTTAAATAATATCAAGTTTTAGCTGTAATTCCCTTAGAAAACATTTCCGAACATACGATCTACAGGATTTTTTTTTCTTATTGTGATCTAAGGAATCATTTCACGAAATATTTTAAAGTTTTGTTCAAACACCCTGTATACATACAGAGTTTGGCAAACTTAGGCACCAATGACGATCAGTCGCCAATCTTTTTTTTTAACTTTTGCCAATTTTGTGTTAATTAAAAAGTAGGCAATTTAAGGTACAGGGTGTTTTATAAAAACACAAAAAAAGAAAAATGTCAAGTAAAATAAGATACCAGGAACATGAAAAAATGCTAAAAAAATTATCTATAAGAATTTTAAAATTCTGGAGGTTTAGGTTTTGTACTTTGACCTTATTTATTTCTGTTGTAAAAATAATTTTACATGTTCTTTTGCTACAGACTGTTAAAAGAGGAAACAAAGAAGCTGTATCTTGAATTGCAGCTACCTTAACGGTTATTTGTAGCTTTTATTGACACAGTTTTTGTTACCTTTACTGAGTAATTATTAAAAAAAATATTTATACAAGATTTACGGTAACAATAAACATAAAAAAATGTCAAATATAAAAAAATAAATGTCAAAAATGTTATACAGATAGATTTTCTAAACATTTTTAATGTTCCTGGTATCTTATCTTACTTGGCATTTTTTCTTTTTTTTTTAATTTATGTAAAACACCCTGTGGCAATTGGGTGCCATTTGAATTTCTTATAGATCATAAAGTTGTATAATTCACTCTGTATAATAATAATAATAATAATAATAATAATAATAATAATAATAATAATAATAATAATAATAATATATATTTTTTTCAAATGAAGTTATTGATTTTCGAATAAATTTTTTGTTTGCATCGATATAAATCTTTATTCATTAGGTTTACGTGCGACCTGTTTAAATTGTAGATACGTTTTCTTAAAATATTAAAAAATCACTGACAACAACAAAGTAATTTAAAAAACGCTGCTACTGTGATTATGCAACTTAAATAAGTGAGCATATTTTTTGGTAACTATTAAAAAATATCACAATCATCTGCAATCGGACAACGTGAATTGTTAATTAAAAACTTTGAATCAGTCGAGCAATTTTCCCAATGCAGCTATAATCGTTCCCTGTTTAAGACATAGTTTCATCTCCGGAGAATTACTGTAATTTTACTGTCTTCACAACGTTCAGAACAGTTTCTATTTTGTTACATTGACGTGTTTTATTATTTCGCAAGACAAGTTAAGTGTTACTCATAAATTTAATATGGATAAGTCGCAAAAACAAATTCTGAACAACTTGATATCAAATATTCGATAGCAGACACCCCAAATTTCGTGATAATTAAAATCATTCCAAGTTAATGAAGGTGTCATTGTACGTGATTGATTAAACACCTCAATTTTCTCTAATTCGGTTCGAATTTTATCAACCCTGACTCCAATTATTACTTGCAATTAGGCTTAATCGATTTTCTACTAACGTTTCTGCTGTGTGACCAAAAAATCGAAAAATAATGGACACCAATGCAAAATTTATACTACAACAGAAAGCTTTTACTTGTCATAATCCAATAACTGCATGTCGACTGTTTTTAATCGAATAAATTTCCCATTTTTTGGAATTGAATATTCGTATTTGATCAGACCAGAGACACTTGACGGGGGCGCGGTGGCGTAGTAAACCCCAATAAAGGCAGCAATTTTTTTCCAAGCATAAGAGCAAATAAAAGTAAAGCAAAAACATAAAAGCACAAGAAATTTTTATTGTTAATTTTTTTTTATTTATTCCGCTACTCGGAAATGTACAGTGGCGGACACGGCAATTTGGACATCAAATTTATGTCAGTTCAAAAAATGTCAATATAAGCCACCCTTTATTGTCATTATGATTGACGTTTGAAACTAAAATTTGAAAGTTTTAGATGAAATTCATTTTTGGCGTCCATTTTCAGAAACAATAATGCCAGCAATATGTGTTTTTACATAAGTTCAATAAATTATTATTATTTTGTACTCAATGTTAAAGAGTGCTTTTATGAACTAATTTGAGTAGATAAGGTAGTCTTTTATCGTTTAGTGAAATAAAGTAATTTTTATCTACTGTTTATGTTTTATCAACTAATTTCAGTAGATAAAGTAGTATTTTATAGTCTAGTGAAATAAAGTATTTTTTTCTACTGTTTATATTCAAGAAATTCTAGTAGGTGAGTACAAAATAAAACGAAATATTATACACGACGATAAAGATTGTTTATCTTCTGATGATAAAAGTCTACTCGTGACTTCGTCACTCGTAAACTTAACCTTTTCACTCGTAGATAAACAATGTCTTTATCGTCTTGTATAACAAATAACTATGATTTGTTGTACCATTTTTTTAGCTAAAAATTACAAAAACTCAAAAATGTGGTCAGTTGCCTAATGCCCGTTTTACATTTTTATGTCAAGTGAATGACAAATCATCCAAAATTCCGTGATCCGTGTGCGACAGTGTATTACAAAGTACCAACTTTTCTAGAAAAACCAAACATTTCTCTAAACCAAAATTGAACCTGTAGATACTTAAGAGTGGAATCCAAAGAGATTAAGTCCGTACTTGCAGTAAGACTTCGTCTTTTTAAGACCAACAACAAAAAAAATATAAAATGATTTGTCGTTGCCTACCTCGATTGCGTATTTATTCGATACCAACATCGCGACACCGATAAGCTGCGGTAAAGAATAGAGGCGCCATCTACAAGCACATACCTGCACCACAGTAAAGGCAAACTAGGAAACTTCTGTTGTATTACACTGAAGTGTTTAGAACGAAATCTGTACTTAAAAAACAACAAATTGTTGACAAATGAGAAATGTCAAAATAATTTTTATGTAAATTATGACAGAAAACTGTGGTGAACAACAACATGTCATTTTAGGATATTTTGAGACGTTTTATAGAATGCTTAGATCAATATTTTGATTTTTATAAAATATTTTTTTGACATCCAACTAACATACGAACATAGAAAGACTTCTGACAACTAAATTATTGGTAAATGACAATTGACATTAAAATTTGGTAGTCAATGTTGCCAACCTATTTTCATAATTACGCACATTTTATAACTAGTTAATCAAAATTGCAATATGTTTGTCTTTAATTATTATAAGTTTAATAAATTACAAAATGGAAGATTGTGTTTAATTGTTATCCCGGCGCCTCCACCAATTTTACCACATGGGTCGATGGTTTCCCGGCAACGAATCAACGTCCACAAATCCAAAATTTCCAAGTGATCGACATTTACTTGTCACTTTTATTTTACAGAGTACCAATTTTTATTTTAGGTTCAAACAATGTGATATTTTATTCCCCCATTCTCGAAGAATGTCCAGGAAAGCTTTTCAAGTCCAAGTGGAACTCGACGTCCAAGCTGTAACTCCTCACCTTTTGACCTACTTTCGCACTGGTTTAGCTTCTTTAAGGTGACATGTCCTGGTGTTTGGTTGTGTTCAAACGGCAAAGTGTCTCTCCAAATCTACATGTTGGACTCGTGTGTCCAAACTGCCAGCTACAAGCCCATCTTCCCGATCCAATGCAGCGAAACGTTCGTTTTCTACAAGACGTTTCTCTCCAAACACCAGCTGCACGAACTTCAAAGAGAGTTGCGTAAGTTTCAGAAGTTGGGGAGTTTGCCGTTGCATGAAAGCTTTCAGACGACCAGTGGCTCTACATTGAGCTGGTACAATGGCAGAGTTGCGAAATCGGTAACGTTCTAGCCTCGTTTCAGACCACTTTAGACGAGCTTTTGTACCCGTCGACAATCAACGGATCGATTGCCGGCGTCGATTTGGATCTGTTAATGGAACCCACGAAAACATTTCCGGTAAAATGCACACAAGAGTTTTTCTTCACCGACATTTCACTCTCTAGGGAACAATAGCGCCGAAAGTTGAAGTTAGCACCAAAACTACAATTGAGGAAACTTTGTGTGTTTGCACAAAACCGACCCCTAGCACGGTTGTAGTCAACCCAAAAGTGATAACTTCAACTCAGAGAAAAACGAGGAAAAATGTCTGCAGAAGAGTCTGCCATTCAGTGTCATACAGCAGGTGGTGAAATAATTTAACCGATTTAACTCCTGACTCATTTTTTTTAGAAAAAAACGTCCTTTTAAATGTGGTAAAAGTCGGCCACCGTTTTGCTACCGCAAAGCTGAAGATGATTTAATTCTCCGAAAACCAAACTACGAAACTGACGATAAATGCACGTTAGTGGCTTACAGTGTTGCCAGGTGTGGTGAAATGTCACCAGATCTGGCCATTTTCATGTTAATCTGGTGATTTTTTTGGAACCAGAAAATTGACTATTTCGTCAATTTTTTGCAAAAAAGTCGAAAAACCACCAAATTGGATAAAAATATTTCTTTTTGATTTTACCAGATAGAATCAAAAATGACAATTTATATTTGTCTTTTTTGAATATTCTTTCACCTGGAAACACAATTATTTCACAAAATTTCGTTAAAAACAACCAAAAGATTGAACAAATTTGACCAAAAACGGCGTTATTTTTGCCCGTTTCAAGTGTTTAAGCACGTTTTTGAGATAAAAACAAAGAGAATTCTAAAAATTTTGTTGAAGCAGAATTAAATCAAAATCGCTATTATTTTTATCTTATTCCACTCGACTTACTTTGTTCTTGAACCAAAGGCTCACTTATTTTGCAAAATCTTATTCAAACACGCTTAAAAATCACAAAAATTAAGTCGAAAGTTACATTAATTTTGCATTTCGTGAGAGTTTTAGCACGTTTTTCAGCTACAAATGCAATTATTTCGCAAAATTTTGTTAAAAACAAGACAAAAAACGCAGAATTAGGTAAGTCTTTTTCGAAAGTTCAAGCAGATCTTTAAACTGAAAACTCTGTTTTTTTGGGAGAATTTGCCACAGCGTATCAAAAAATACTAAACTATTATAAAAAAGATTATTTTATGTTATTTTTACCTAACTCTTAGGCTTTAACTTGATCAAATTTTCTCTTTTTTCTCCTTGTATACAAAATAATCGAAAAACACCAAATTGGTTTAAAATAGATCTATTTGTTTTTTACGAGATATTATTAAAGTCGAGTCGAAAATGACGACTTATTTACGTTTTTTTCGAAAACCTTTTTCCGCTAGAAACACAATTATTTTGCAAAATTTGGTTAAGAAGAAGACACAAATTCAACAAAATAGTCCAAAAACGGCGTTTTTACAGCCTTTTTTGAGTGTTTAAGCAGGAAATTGAGAGATAAAAACACAAAAAGTTCAAAATATTGCTTGTTTTGCCCGACTTACTTAGTTTTTAAACCAGCGGTTTATTTGTTTTGCAAAATGTTGTCCAAACACGCCTCAAATCACAAAAAATATTGATATTCAAGTTGTTTTGTTTGTTTCACTCGATTTAACTGTTTTTTTAACAAGATTAAGTTGAGCAACCTCAAAATTTGACCGAAAATGCTTTTAAGCGCGTTTTTGGACTAAAATTTTAATTTTTTTATTAGACTTCGCTAAAACAAACTAACTTTTTGCGTTTTTCGGGCATTTTAACACGTTTTTCAGATAGAAACGCAATTATTTCACAAAATTTTGTTGAAAACAACCCGAAAAATCACAAAATTAAGCGGAAATGCATGTCATTTTTGCTTTTTTTAAGCGAATTTTTAAGCTAAAAATTGTGAAAACATAATATTTAGCCGAAAATGCTTTTAAGCATTTTTTGTACAAAAATCTTAGGTTTTTCGCCAGATTTCGCTAAAAGAACCTTAATGATAAAGAAATAAATTCTAAAATTACATTATTTTTGTATTTTGCGAGCGTTTTAGCAGTTTTCCGATGAAAAATGCAATTATTTCGCACACTTTTCTTGAAAACAAGGTGAAAAATCACAGAATTAGGCCGAAAAGCATGTCATTTTTGCTTTTTTCCAAAAGTTAAAGCAGATTTTTAAGCTGAAAACTACGTTTTGACGCGAGATTTTGCCACACAAATCTGATGAAAATTTGGCAAAATTTTCAACTCGGATCTGGTGAATTTTATGTTCTTGACCTGGCGACACTTTTGGCTTATCAACACAAAAAACCTGTTTTATTTGTCTCAATTAGTTGCAGGGAGTCGAAAAGTGTCAAACGCATCAGCGCTGTAAGAATCGAAAAACCGGAATTGATGAGCAAACAATCACAAGCCTGCCCTTGTGTCTCAAAAAAATGCCCACTTTGTGCTAAATACAAGGGTTACTTTGACACTGTTAGATACGCCAGTGAAGAGCAAGAAAAAGCCGACTTTCCGACCCAACCACGAACAAATCTATTCGATGCCAATAAAATGTGTTCAAAGCACAGCAAAAACGCCCAGTGTCATTGCTGTCGCTCCAAAGCTTGGGCCACAAGCGAGGAAAAATCAGACGCGGGTGAAACCGTCTTTTCCGATGAAGAAAAGAAAAAAGTTTGTTTGTGTTTCGATCAGAAACCGAGTTTGGCCGAAAAGTTGCATGCGAAACTTGCAAAAACACTGAGTTCGATACCGAGATCGATCGAGTGGTCGTGTTATGACAACGAATACGAGTAAAATAATGTGGTTGTTAATTTTTGTAGTAATGTTTTTTTGCAGATGTCAGTGTTGCCAAAGTCCGAATTCGTCATCCAGAGCTGAGCTTTACCGAGATTTGCAAAGGTTTTATGGGGAATTGTACGAAAAAAGCCGGAGTAGTGCCCTGTGTGTACCTGAGTGTCCCGGAGCTAAATGAGTGTAAAATGTCTTGTGCTCGGTGGAAAGTTTTTAGTCAAATCTAGAATAAACGTTGAAAAGCAACTTGTCTTTAATTTTTTCTATTAATATTGTTTATTGTTACTTTATAATTATTACTTCAGGTTTTGAAAGACAGCTGAAGTGAGAAAGTCTTTTATTAAAAAAAAAATTAGTGTATTATTGGTTGCCTATAACACGCTTATTTTAAAAACCATAATTCTTTTTTTCTATTTATTTTCTTAATTACTAACTCATAATAATAGTATGATATTGAAATGGTGTTAAAGTAATTGTAATTTAATTAAGAGTACGTAATTATTGCTTTCTTTTGATTATTTTTTATGACTAGTCTTTTGTTGCTTATGTAGTGTGGATTTAATTTTATAATAATTGTTTCTTGTTAGTTACGTTGTTGTAATTAAATGTAAATATAAATAGACAGTGGCATGACTGACGACTGTAAATTTTCCGCTTTTGCGAATTCGATGAAAATTTCATCTTTCATCGTTATTTAATTAAAGTTTAATACGGAATCAATTACCAATTTCAATAAGATGAAAGTTTGCAACACTGGGAGAAGGAAATGCAGAGTAAACAAAATAGTGATCGTCGTCAATCAACTTCCTGTTTTTTCGCCCTGTTCAAATAAAAACTCGCCGATCAAATAATGCGGGGGTGTTAAGGTCATCATAATATTGATTGTTTAGGTGTCGGCATAGTTTCAAGTAAAAGGCCAAAGGATTATCATGCGAATAATCAATTTGCAATGACGGCCCTGCAATGACGTCATTGCTAATCGCAAAATATCGCGTTTTTGTTGAGCCGTCAGACGCCCACGCGCTCATTGGAAAGTGGCGGAGCACAGTGGCGTAGAATTAATCGTTTTGGAATCCAATTTTCTCTTATTTCAACTGAATTTTAGCTTTTAGCAATCATAATTTTTAATAATGTGCGTAATCAGACCACACCATGCATATACAGGGTGTATAAACAATTTATAATCATAAATTTGAGAACTAAAAAAATGTTTGTTTTTTTATTTGAAAGTCAAAAATAACATTTTGTAACATTTTTTGATAAATATTGAAGCATGAAGCTCCAATTTTACAATTCTTGAGAACTTCAGAATCCATGTCTAGGTTAAATAAAGAATTTTTTTTATATTCATATTTTTATTATACATTTCATGTTGCCGTTGATAATTTTTTATTATATTTAATTTATTTATATTTTGTTATGTTTAAAAGCTGCTGTGCAACATCTTTTAACATTTAGGTCACTCAGCCACCACGTCCTCAGTCAGTGTCTCTGGTCTAATCATTAAATTCATTCCTTCACAAAAATTTTGAACATTTATATATTTATATCGCGTTTCATCAGCGTTTTACACACTTTTATAAGTCTGTGAAACCCCTGAAATATAAACTATGATTTCAAATTGCAAATTTAAAATTTTTAATTTTTTGTAATTTTCGTGAAAATTCTGGTCGATTTTCGGTATTATTATTAATAGCCCCTTTCCTATTTTATAAAATGCTATTTTTATTTGTTCTTGAAATAAATCATTGATTACAGTAAAAGTGTTGGCAAAGGTTTCATCGTTTGATATTAATTTGAGACAAATAGTTATTGAGAAAATCGCTAATAAAAGCAAAACTAATTAAAATTTATACTCGACGATAATAATCTATTAAAAATTTTACAATTTACTCAACACCAATTAATTCCTCTGAACATAATTCAAAACAATTTAAAATTTAAATTTGAAGCATGGTTTGGTTGAAACATAAAATTTAAAAAAAATCAAAATTTTCAAACACATTTTGTTGAAATTAAATGTAAAATATTCCTTAGATTGAACTCTCTCACGCTGAACTAGTCTCTAATGAGTTGTCAGTAATGTACTGACATTTTGGACATTATGAAAAGTCAAATTTGACGTTAAAGCCCGCTTTATACTTATTACAGAAAAAAAATTAAGTGAATTTAAAAAAAAAAACAGATTTAATTTTTTTGTACGCCATAGTATAGTGAGAAATACACACTTTGAATTTATTAATGTCATTGATTTTCACGTGATGTTCTCGCATTTTGACGTTATGGAGGTTTTGAAAAGTCAAATTGACGTTAAAGCCTGCTTTACATTCATTGGAATAAGTTTTTAAAAAGTGACAAAATCCGATGACCTTTTTTGTCCTCAGTGGTTTACATGGTATGTACCAATTATTTAATAATTATTAAGTTATGAACTTCAATGAACATCAATTTTTAAAATTAACTTTGAGGTTGTACAGTTGAGGACACATTTGAGTGACATAAAGCTGTAAAGCAAGCATTAGGATAGTTAACCTTGTTTTTTACTACTGTCAACCATTGTCATTGGCTGTTACTGGAAGTGAAAAGAAAAAAGTTAATTAAATTGAAGTTGATTTGACGTTAATTCTTGGTTTACATTTTTTTTAACTGACAGAATAATATTCACCAAAGTTTGTCATTAGGGTTCAGTTGTAACACAGATTCTTTTTTACACAGAAATCAAATGTATAAAGCATTTCAAAATGATTGACATCTCGGTAGGTAATGGAAATTCAAATTTAAGGTGGCAACATTGGTACTTTCACAGTTTTATATTGTTTAAAGTATATTTCATTGAAATTGGCATAATAGGTGGCTATGGAATTTCGTATTTAAGTTTGTAGCCCTGCGCATGTCCCTGATGTAACAGCTGATGGGGTTTTTGTTTTTCTTTGATTACTTACCTACATGGTTTATTGAACTGACATGACTGACATTTGTATTCGTTTTTTCACTGATTTCGTTGGTTGTTCGTTATTCCTACTAGTTTTTCAAATTATAATTAAAAGTAGTTCTCTTCAGAACCCAAGTACACGCGAAGGTGTGTTTGAAAACATAATCAATTTCTTTTTGTTCTTGTTTTAGGCATCTTAGGTTAATGGAATCAAATATACCAATTTGAATTAAGCCAAATTATTTTATCCACGGCAAAACACTATTTTTCAGGCTTCAGTACTCGAAGCTTCATTTTGTACAGATTCCCTTTTTCCCCTCCGATCGCAACAACTTTGCCATTGTTTAAAAATTCACAATTTTGTCCTACATTTTTAATGACAAAATCCAAACCCCTTTTGGCTGCAACTTTCACGGAAAATAAATTATGTTTCATCTCCGGTGTGAATAAAACGTCTTTTAAAATTCCTGGAAGCCACTTATTATCAACGAAAGTCTGTATTTTCTACAAAGGAAATAGTGTATGTTTTTGGTGTCAAAACTACACCTACAAAGGGATGAAACTTTTTATGGAGAAAAACTCTCTCTAAAAACTTTTAAAATAAAATTTTTACTATCTTAACCTCACTTTTTTTAGTGACAAATTTAGTTCCTTAACATGTAAAGCATTTTTCACATTTAAAGCGCAGTTTACACAATCATGGCCTACTGTTATGCCAATTTAAATGAAATGGATTATATCTTTGTACGATTGCGCCACTGGTTGAGGTTACGTCTATTTCACAATTTGTCACATTTGTCGTTTTTAAGAGCTTTTTGCGCATTTTCTCTCTATTCTAAGTTTCTTTTATATTCATTTTTGGAAAAAAAATAGATTATGTTATTTTTTATATTTTCTGACAGAATTCAACTGAAATGTCATTTTTTATGAAGTATCGTGTTCTAAAGAATGTTCACATTCCTAAATTTTTGGAACTAAAATTAAATAGCGATGTTGCCAGTGAGGCAATTTACTAAAAGTTTATAATATTGATTGCCCATCTAATAAATTTGCCGTTTTTTTTTTTAATAAAAGTATGCATATGATTACAATACGATTAAAAACTCTTTTAAAGATTTTTATTACAAAAATATAAGTTGGCAAGAGTGACAAGAAATCAACAGCTTATCCAACTTGAAAAAACCAAACCACAACCAGCCCTACTATGAAATAAATGTCGCCTTGTTTACTTTTGTTTTGTTGGTCATATTTGTAAACACGCCACTGCCGTGAAGTAATGAAAGTGGACATACGTCACATTAGAACGGCGCGACACTCTCCCAACCGAGATGGAAAGTATCCATTTAGCGTAACTTGATTGAAAACAAACATCGTCGGGTGTCTTCATCAATGAAATGACGTAATTGCCGGCCGATTGGCCGTTGGAGGGGATCCCACATGATCGCCAGCCAATCCCTTGGCTCGTTTAGTGTCGATTTTCACTCGCACGCCCTCGCACAATCAACCTGCGAAACGGCAACAGTGCACCGATCATTCTGAGTTCCAGCAGTGATCGGGTTGCACGTTCCACTTCGTGCACCCTCTTTATTTCCAGTTTTTTCACATAAAATCGGTGTTTTGTGTTCGCCAATGGTTTTGTTTGTGTATTCGTAGTGCTCCAAGATGCCCACGACGCCCGAGTGCGACTACGACATCGTCTCCAACGAGGGGCTGCTCTCCCTCCTCCGGAACGAGTCGAAGAAGATCGTCATTCTGGACTGCCGCAGCTCCATCGAGTACGGCGAGTGCCACATCCGAGACGCCGTCAATTTTTCCATTCCGTCGATTATGCTGCGCCGTTTGGCCGCCGGCAAGATCGACCTCGCCTCCACCGTCAAGTGCAGGGAGTTGAAGCACAAGATCTGCAGCACCTACAAGGAGAATCTCTTCGTGCTCTACAACGATCTCTCCGGAGTTCAACAACATCAAGCCGACTCCGTTCTCAACGTTTTACTGCGAAGGCTGACGCAAGATGGTTGCCGTGTCGTCTGTCTTAAAGGTTAGTATTGTTTTCGCCCCAATTCCGGCGCCTCCAGCCCCCAGAAGCCCCCCAAAGGGGCCAAAAACGGCCACAATGTTGGGGGGAAGCCCCTCGAGAGTGTTCGGTTCGCATGCTGATCAGGGTGGGCGGCGGTAACACGTTTGTTTCCATTGTTTTGATCCACAGGTATAGTGAGTCAAGTGAGTTGTCGCCATGTTGCCGCTGTTCGCATGCGTGACCGCTCAAATTGCATTTCTAACCAACTCATTGAATATTTTTATAATTAGACGAGGAATGAATTATGTGAGACGTGATTTGGTTTCATTCATTATTTTATAAGAAAACGATTGTTTCCGGGCGTGCGAATTTTTTATTACCGGAAGACAATAGGATAAATACTGGGATGTGTACGAGGACAATTACGATTGTTTTAGTGCCGCCAATAGGAACACACACTGGACCGGAAACTGGAACTGCAACGGACGTACGCACTTCCGGTTCTGTAATGTGTGCACAGAGATTGAACTTGTTTTGGCATGTTTGCACCGAACGCTGATAACAGTGATAACATGTTAGCAGAAGGGATTTCAAAGAAAAAGCTCAATAAGAACAAACTAGTAACAAAACTAGTCTCCAAATGCAAAGTGTTCTTGAAATCGACAATTTTGACATTGCCATTTTAACATTTTGACAATTCTGTCAATTTTTTTTGTAAACTGATAGATTTTAATTTTTGACATCTTGGTGAAAAACTCTATAACAAGAAAAGTACTATGGTAAAATTTGTAAATTGCAGTAATTTGAAACATGTTGGGTTGGTATTGCGATACCTCCGGATATTCCTACGCGGGCAGTGTTTTGACAGTCATACAGACATTACTACTAAAATGTACTTTCGCGCCAAATTTTAAAAGTACTACTTTCTGGGCGGAGGATGTCAGCAACCTAGTTACTTTTCTGTCACTATTCTATCACTATCTAGACTATAGTGTTGCCAGGCCTGGTAAAATTTCATTAGATGTGATGATTTTCATGCTAGTCTGGTGATTTGACTAAAACTTTTGTAAAAATTCTAATATCAGAGGTGATTTTTGAAAATAAAAAATCTGTAGTACTTCTGCGGCTACAACAAAAAAATATATAGACTAATTTTTCAGTTATTGTTTTAGTAAATTAGATCAAAAATGATACTGTTTTTGCATTTTTTGAGAGCGTTTTGTATGTTTTCCAATCAGAAACTTATTTTTTATTTCGACAATTTTTTTCAAAAAAATCATTAAAGCACCAAATTGGTTGAAAATATATAGTTTATTTATTTGTTTTTTTTTTTACGAGATTTTGCTAAACATGGTCAAAATTTCGTTAAAAACAAGCCAAAAATTCAACAAAATAGGCCAAAAACGGTGTTATTGCTGCTTTTTTGAGTGTTTAAGTGTTTTTGAAACATAAACAAGAAATTTCTTTTAACGAGGTAAAAATAAAAAAATCACAAAATTAAATCGAAATTGATATTATTTTTCAACTTGTTTGGTTCTACTTACTTTGTTTTTTATTTTAGCATCTTGTTCAAACGCGCTTAAAAATTACAAAATGAGTTGATATTGGTGGCATTTTCTCTATTTCACTCGATTTAACTAGTTTTTGAGCCAAATTAAAACAAAAAATAAGCCGAGGAACAAGCAAATTTGTTCGAAAATGCTTTTATAAGCTCATTTATTTACTAAAATACAGTTTTTTTTGAGATTTCGGTAAAACAAACCAAAAATTAACACATTAAGTCGACAATTATATTATTTTTGCATTTTTCGTGCGTTATTTCGTAGTTATTTTGCAAAATTTCGTTAAAAACAAGCAAAAAATCACCAAAATGGGCCAAAAATCGTGTTATTTTTGTCTTTAAGTGTTTAAACAGATTTTTGAAATAAAAACAAAAATTTTTTTCCAACCAAACTGACAAATTACAAAATTAAATAGAAATTCATATTATTTTTTAGCTTATTTCACTCGACTTCGTTTTGAACGAGAGGCTCATTTATTTTATAAAATTTTGTCTGAAATCGGTGTTATTTGTTTGTTTTAGTCGATTTAACTGGTTTTTGGGGAAAATTAAGTTAAAAATAACGTGAAAACCACAAAATTTGGTCAAAAATGCTTTAAAGCAAGTTTTTGGACGAAAATCGCAGTTTTTTGGCGAGATTTCGCTAAAACAAATCAAAAAGTCAACGAAATCAACTCGAAAATTACATTATTTTGCATTTTCCGAGTGTTTTAGCACTTTTTTCACCTAGAAATAATTATTTCGCAAAATTTTGTTAAAACAAACTGAAAAACTATAGAATCAAGGCGAAAATGATGTAATTTTTACCATTTTCAAGAGTCAGCAGATTTTTAAGCTGAAAACTTCGTTTTTTCACGAGATTTTGCCATACCGAGTCGAAAATTGCTAACTTGTTATAAAAAAAATTATATTACAACTCTTAGGCTCTAACCACTCAGTTTATGTAAAAACGTAAACTTTGGTCACTTAGAAAGATGTAAATTTGCAATTTTCGCATTATTTTGCTATTTTACATCTCATTTTCAGATTAATTTTTTTAAGTCTGTTTATGATTTGTAATTGTTTTTTTGTATTCGTTAATTTAAACCTTGAATAACGAGTGACTAACGAGTATATCTTTCAGTTGACAATACAAGTAAATAGAATATGTGTAATAATGATTGTATAATATGATAATAATTCGAGATTAAATCGGAAAGTAATACTAAAAGTCTGAATCTGTACTTGATGCTATTTACAACATTAAAAAAATAAAACCTAGAGTATACTTAAGTATTTGGTCTCGCATTACAGCAGTGCCTTGCCTAATGCGCTGTAAAATCGTAAAAGATCAAATTTCAGGAAGCTGAATGCACTGCACTCTCTTTTATTTTGTTGGAAAACTTTCAAAGTCCACACATCGATTCGGTAATCAGCTGTGTGTAAATGTAAACAGGTTGTAGTGCAAAGCTATCAAATGTGATAATGCGATATGGCATGGCAAGCCTCGACATGCTAGAACCATGTCTAAACATGTTCGATAACTCAGTTTTCAGATTTATGTGCACTGTAACCATTTCCTCTAAACATATCAAATAAAATAATTTACAACGTCATGTAAACACAGTGTTTAAAATAGAAAAAAGACTTTGTTCCTATTAATCACGAATTTTAACTAACTCTATTAAAATAAACACAGTTGATGGAAAAATAATCAATGAAAGTTGTAAAATTAGGTGGTATGACAGTTCAATTGATGTTATCGCAAAACCAATTACGGTTTTGTTTGTAGAAAGTTGAGGGGGGAGCGGGAGGGGGGTGAGTAATTCATGCATTGGCTTCAATAAATTGCAAGTTTGATTAAAATGAGCACGCAAGCGGTTGTAAGAATGAATTTTCTTATTCACATTTAGTGACGTAGTAATCAGGACGTCACTAGATGAATCTTTGAAGCCTTGGACCTGAACCCAATTGAATATTCATGGGATAGCAAATATGATTCGAAGAAATTTGATTTGAATGAAGCGCAGTTGGTACGATTGGGAGCACCACCCACGATTTTCCACCGTTACCATATATGAGCAGCAATCATGTAATCAAAGATTAAAGAATGCTGAGGGCGAGCGAGTATTCAACCTTCTGTTTTCGCAAGGCTGTTCGACATTTTCCATACCCATATACAAACAGGTGGAGGAAGAGAATTGGCTCTTCGAGCAGTGTGCTAATTTCACAAATTGACAAAACATAATTCCACTAATTTAAAATTACGTCATTGTAATCCCACATTGATCCAATAATTATTATTTTGCATTAAGTAACTGATTTGCATAATTCGACGATAGCAGAGGTAAACATCGCACAAAGCGAGCCTTTCTTATTATACTTATTACCATATAAATTTTCTAATAACTTGTATGAGAAACTGACATTTTACAACAAAAAGTTCAGGCACTCTTGGCGTAGGTATTTATTTGCAACTTAATTATTGCATTGCACACAACACCTGTTTCTCATTTTTTATTATTTCAATAATTGTTTTGGAAAAATTACGACTACGCAAAACCCCTAGATACACCGCACCTTTTATAATCAACTTTTATTCGTTATTAATTAAAACTAAGTGTGCAACTCTTGGCATTATTAAAAAACTACTTTTCGCAAGGGTCACATCAGAGAATAATTAATCCATTGGTTGTTATACTTAGTAATTAAACAAAATGTTTATCATTCGTACCAATTTCCACACATTTTTTTTTAAATGCTTCACAACTAATTGGTTTTTTTTGGTCAAAAATTTCAAAACCTAGTACATTTTTGGAATAAAAAAATAAAATAAAAATCCAACAGACAAAAGTCTATAGAGGGCGAAAGAAATAGACGAGTAAACTAATATAAATACATAAAATAAAACTACAAAACTACAAGAAGTATCCAAGAAGTGACCATTACGGATTTAGTAAAATTTATGAAAGAAGATATCCAGATCTAAGCCATTGTTATACAGGGTGTTTTTTTTTAACGTGCCACCCTGGATATCTCAGAAAATAAACAAAAATTAGAAAATTCTGGGCCAAGTCAGTATTTTAATTTATTGGCATGTGTTTGCTTGCTTTTTATAGTAATTTGTTCTGTCAGATCTTGTTCTATGTAATAAATAAAAAATACTCAAAATTCAAACAAAACACAGCTGAAATAAAAATTGACCTGTCTCTCTCTTATAATTTTTGTTTATTTTATAAGAAGTCCAGGGTGGTTCGTTCTAAAAAAAAACACTCTGTATAATCCAAAACATTTGGTAATGGAAAGTATTTGGGGAAGAATAATAAAATGTCATTCATGGTTATTTTGTTGTATCACCAATTTTTGAAGCTAAAGATTAGAAATTTTTATCGAAGCTACTTGAAAATTATGACCAAATGTTTATTTTAACGACTGTTTTTACACTCTTACTTTAATATTTTTCTAGACAAATTTGGCATTT